CGGTTCTTGCCGCCGTAAGGCGCTCTGGCGAAGCGGTGTTGTCGACCCGGTGGCCTTCCGGAGGTGCCGGGCCCTGAGCAGAGCGGGGATCCAGCGGGCGGCCCTGGCCCGGCTCCGGGCGGTGCGGCGAGGGGGAAGGGAGGCCTCGGTCTCCGTGCCTGGTGGGCATTAAGGCTCGAAACCTGGCGGCCTCCAAGTTGATTTTAAAATAAAATTAAAGGAATGGATTTTTGTGCTTTTTTTTTTCCCCTTTGAAGGTCTCGAAAAGCGTTTGGTTTTGTCGAGGGGAGGGGGAATGCCTATAAGCGTAAACTTACATTTTTTCGGAGCTGGAATGTATTATGTCTAGAAAGTAAAGGGCAACTTTTTCTCATAGGAGTGAAATCTTCAGCCAGCGTAAAGAAGGAAGATACCTGTTAATTTATATTTTTAAAAGTGCCCTTTGCCTTTCAAAGTTGTTTTTTCCTTTTTCCTCAGAATGTTTTCATTACATTAATTAATGAATTAAAGGGTTTTTTTCAGAATATATCTTTATACGTAAGGTGCCCTGTCCTTTTCTAATGCACTACAAAGTAGGTGTCTCTATACTGCAAGATTCCGCTTTTTTCTTGGCATTTTTTCTTGACTCCATCAAGTGTGTGACGTGATTTTGGGATGTGACAGGACTGGTAGAATGCTGGTGTGCGGTCCTTGCATAGCACTGTCTAAAGTATATCTAAAGCATGTGAATAGATAAGTTTCTCGTAATTGTGATGTGCATTGTCTTCTAGAAATTGCTTGTAGGCTGTAATCTTGCATTCCCATCTTCCTAAATAAGGTTATTGGAGCAAGCTCAAGTCATAGCTTACAGGCAAGCTTTAGTTTCTTTGATAGGCTCTGTTATAATCTGAATTTGGTGTTTCTTGCATAATATTGGATTTGTACCAGTTGTTTTTCTTTCTTTTTTTCTCTTATGTTTAAAAAAGAATCCCAACGGAACTACCACTTCCATTTAAAAGGTAGCAGTCTCACTTTATACTGTTCAGAGTTAGATTTGGCCTCTTTGCTTCCTCTGCTTTCTCTTCCAGATATGGCTGTTAAACTGCTGGGAAGAAATGTTTCCTCAGTTCTGAGGATGACTAAAGGAGTGGATCTGAAGATAAGCAGAAGGCTTTGTATCAAATCCCCAGAAGAAAGTCAACTTAAGCCAAAAAGTAAGAGCTTCCAATAAAGACCATGCTGCCTTTCATGCTGTGAAATATTTAGATATCTGGGCTGCAGTCATCTGAACAGGAATTTGGCTGATATAGATGCTAATACCCCTTATTTTGTGAGAGGAATTTCTGGTCTTTAGACTGATAAACTGAGCATTAAAGTTAGCAATAAGATCCTGATTTTTAACAAAGCCAAGGGTCAGTGTTTCTTTTTGTGACAATAATGCAGCTTTCTTTTTGTGGCAGGTCCCTGTTGTCTTATCTGATATACGTTGAAGCTCTTCAGCTATGCTCTAGAACCCGCTGTTCAACCCCAATGCAAACCTTTGATGTATAGGAACATCATACGAACTAAAATACTTTTGCAGGTTTTTCTTAGCACAACCAGCTCCAGCTGTTCATAAAATTGAACATGCCCTGCGGGAGAGAGTCTGAATCATTGGCTTGGTTCATGTTTAAGCATGGAGTTGTTCAGGTAAAGCTCAGGCCATGATACATTTTTTCACTATATATGGGAGAGTTAGGATGCTCTAATGAGACATCCTGTACAACACATTTCCCTCACTGCCTACTGATGCTAGGTACAAGGAGCATACAGATGTGAAGCATTTTGCTTACTTCTTGTGTTAAAACTTCTTGTTACTAACTTGTGTTAAAAACATAACGCAGCTGTACTGAGTGAGGTCAGAGGTCTCCTTAACAGTGTCGTGTTTCCAGTAGTGACCAGTAGAGGAGGTGCCTTGCATTTTGGTGAGGACTAATAGGAATGGCGATCAGTAGCAAGGATCTGAGGAAGCGTGCAGAAACAGGGCAAATGTGTTTCTCCCCTAGACTGCTGTCCTGGAGGTGGCATCTTCGTGTTTAGTAGTCCTTGCTGGATTTTTCTTTCATGAATTTACCCAGTCTCAAAGCTGGATGTATTTTTGGTGTCAGCATCCTCTGGGAAGGAATTCCTCAGCCGAACCATGCTGTGAGAAAACAAGTACAGTCTTGTATTTGTTTTTGAAGCTGGTGTGTGCTTTTTTTCCAATCTGATGTTCCTTTATTCAGTACCCCTTCCAAAACAGGGCTTGTTCATTATAACCCACACTCCCAATGTCACATAACAATGCTGGTGCCCTCTGTTGTGCTGAAGAGGGCTTCAATTACTGCTTTTCCAGGCCAAAGTTCTCAGTCTGTGGTGCTGTTTCTTGGTGGCCATTCTATACCTGCGGTCATCCTTACTGGTTTTCTATTTTGTCTGTTTCTGAGACAACAGATCAGTATTTCACACGCTGTTCAAAATGCTGGAGGCGCGGTTTTACACAATGGCATAAAAATGCTTTTGTGTTGGTCTGTGTTCCTAAACGCTGCTGGTGATGCTGTTTCCCTTTCTGACTATTACAGAAAACTTTTGCCAAAGGCTCTGCGAAACCCTGAGGACTTTCTCCTCAGCAGTAAGGGTTACAGTAGAGTCTCTATTTGTATGTGAACCAGAATTGCTTCCTGTTTACATACACAGGGTTTCATTGGCCATCTCATTGACTCAGGAGGCTGAAGCCCTGCAGCTCTTTGTGCTTAGCCCTCTTTATGTTTCTGAATAGCTCGGTTTTGTCAGCAAACTGTCTATCCACGCCGCTTCCTAGATAGTTCACGAATCCACGAGGCAGCGCACAGCCATACAGGACACCTCCCGTTGTTGGGTTGGTGGTGTGTTTTGGTTTTTTTAAAAGGAGGTGGGGGGTGGGAAAGCTGCCTATCTTTGCATTTTGTTTGCTAGATTTTAATGGTATGTTATGTATGGAAACCTTCCCATATTACATTTTGAATACTTTTTTATATGGACTTTGAAAGACTGAAGCTGAAAACTAAGGGTCCAAACTTTGCCTATGGTAGTCTGTTTGTTTACACCTCCAGATAAGATAAAATTGTACACTCCCTGGCAAAGTTAATGTTCTGTGATACAATGGTGCAGCATATTGGCTTTTCTGTAGCAGTTCCGTTTGATTTATTCTATTTTTAAAACATAATAGGAAAACTATAATACCACAGCAGCTTAGGAAGCTTAGATGTTAGATCAAGTTCTGCAAAATCAGAGCTACAAATGTAGAGGTCTGGGCAAGATTTGGCTTTCCTTACATGGCCACAGTTTAATCCATATTTACAGGTTTGTTAATCTGTGATACACTCTTTGTTCCCTAACCAGCTCTAGCAATCATACTTAAAATTCTCCATTGCTCACTCTAACTGGTTTCATTACAGCTGTGGCAATTCAGCTTCTCTGACTGTTGGTTCTGGGTTTTTTGGTTTTGTTTGTCTGTGTGTTTTGTTGGGGTTTTTTTAGGTCGGTCTCCTTTGAGGGTGCCTGGACACAAGCCTACAGACTGGGAGAAAAGATTTTTGTTGTGGGCAGGCCATTTCAAAAAACCAGAGGATATACCAGAGACTGTCTCGTAAGTGCCAGTTTTGAAACTGTAAGAGAGACATTGGCTACGCAGGAATATCGTACTTGAATGCAACTCCAGAATAACTTTTCTTAAAGGGAATGGGTTTTTGCAGCTGAATAATCTTACACTGCTGTGTGTGGTGTATCATCTTGTAGAAGAGATGACCTGAGCAGTTCTGTATTGCTGAGATAATACATCCCTTTGGATTTTACTTTTTATTTCCTGAAGGGATGACCAGAATCTATCAGTTGTTTCATTAGAAAAGCATCACAAATCAGTTAATTTTCACTCTTTCACTCTCCCAATCAAAAAATATTTTTGTAAATGTAAGTGTAAGCTTTTTCTAGTGTTTTTCTTCATATGTCAGTCTCCCATTGTGTGAAATTTGCATGATATAACTATAAAATAGCCGAAAGTCATTTAAAATATTTATTAATGAATGTGTGGAGGGCATGGGCCAGCTTTCTTTACTTTTGGAATTGAAACTAACAAACAGCGGAAAGCAAAAAAAGTGGTTTTGTTGTCCCTAACAAAAACAAATATATATATAGTCAAAACATCGCTGTTGCTGGTGGAGTCCAAATGCCAATGCTTTGCCCCATGTGAAAAGTAGAAAATAAAAGTGGATGTTCTAGTTTACCTGTCTAAAATGAAGATCAAACTTAACACCACCACCAACAGGCAATGATTACTTTAAAAACCACTCGTGGTGGTAGTATAGCTGTCTTTTAAAACATGCTTGTTATGCTTTTAAATATATGTACTTGTTTAAATTCAAAAGATAACAGTAAATCTTGTACTACTTGGGTAAGCAAACTATGTAGCAGCCCTCTAAAGAGATTTTGTTTGTTTGGATGTACAGTATAGGAACTGAAAATACACCCATGTGTTTTCTAAATGTATCTCAATGGATAAACATTGTCAAAAATGAATTCCTTGGTTTTCGTATTGAATAATTTTTCTTAACTTTACATTTGAAATACATAAGGGTGTAAATTACTAAAACTTACTAAATTGTCAGTTCATATATTTTTGCATACCAAACGTGTTTTTACAAAAACAGAATTAGCAGAGCAGTTGAAGTAATTTCAATTGTTTATTGAAAGGACAGACCAATTTCTGATAAAAGGTGACCATTTTTGCAAGTGCATAGGGAATTCTTGGTTTTATTCAGGCAAACAGTTCAGCCAAAGCTGAGAAGACTGAGAACTATAAAAGCACAAAAGCTTGTTTTCCTGTTTTAAGCTGAATTAAGAGTGCATTGTAAGAGCTTGTGATGTAACTCGGTAATCTCGCAAGATGTGGTGATCAGAAATAACTCATTTAATACACAAATGTTAATCTTAGCCACTGAATTTACAATGAAAATTGTGTTCAGATAACTACCTTTTCCTCTTGCACATGCTAAGACATCCAAGGTACTTCAAAAATTAATCAAGTTTTTAAATCCTACTTCTGTGCATTTCAGCTTAATTGCAGCCTGCAGTAAGTTGTTCATCACAGGTCCTTAGCAGAAACAAACAGTCTGGAAGCTAAATTTAACTATTAGTTTCATGGCAGATAGCCGTGTTCCCTGTGATCAGAAATCTTGTATTCAAATCAATACTCTGAAACAGTGATCAAATCACTCTTGCCCTCCTCTTCAAAAACAAGAACAAAACTCTAGTTCTCAGGTCTTGTGTGATTTACCATGTTGAACTGCTATGGATCCTTCTGTATCTTTTCTTCCTTCAACTACAAAGGTCAAAATATGGTAAAAGATTCCATATTTGCTCATGTTTGTGAACAGTGATAGTTTCCCAGTTCCATTAAATGCACTATCAGTGTTATTTTGGGGGTATAATTACCTAGTTTGATGCATTTATTTTTTCATCACATGATGTTGATACTTTTCTAGTCATCTGTAATTTCATAATATGCCAAATTTAAATAGTGATCCCCTTCTGAAGGGAGGCAACTGCGCTAAATTCTGCAAGGAGAGTTAAATATATGGTGTAGGTCTTTGGTTATTGTGGCAAGCACACCTAAAAACATTGTTTCATTGGCCAGTCTTGTCTTGGAATCTCTAACACAAACTTTAAATTTGCTGTAACTGAGTTACTCTGAATGATCCTCAGAGTTTAACACAATTTAAAATAAATGTCTTTTTGTTTTAACTCATTACATGTACAGCTGGAAGGCTCTACCTGTGGAAGATGTCTGCTTGTTAAAGATAACACTGGACTAGGCAACAGGTTTCCCAAAGGAGTAGTATAGCTAGTGGTGTGGCTAGATAAGTGCCCTGAAGTAAATAAACCAAAAAAGAATTAAAGGAGTTCTCTATCCAAAGCTGATGTTGGAAAGTTTGTAAGTGTCCATGTCTCCTCAGTTTCTTAGGAAATCACTTCACCTAAAGACTATTCAGCAGG